CGAGGATGTAGAGAGACAGGAACATTCTTACACTGCTGGTGGCACTACAAATTAGTGTGACCTTTATGGAAAAGAATTTGGAGATACCTAAAAGAGCTAAAAATAGAAATACCACTTGACCCAGCAATAGCATTATTAGGTATCTACTCAAAAGAGTATAAGACATTCTATTATAAAGACATCTGCACCCGAATGTTTATGGCAGCACAATTCACTATTGCAAGGACGTGGAAACAACCCAAGTGCCCATCAATTCATGAGTGGATTATTAAAATATGATATATGTTTACAATGGAATATAACTCAGTTCTAAGAAATGACAGCAAGCTAGCACTGCTTATGTTATCCTGGATTAAGCTTAAGCCCATTATCCAAAAGTGAGGTGACACAAGATCAGAAAAATAGGTTCCACATGTACTCGCCATCAAATTGGTACTGACCGATTATCAATATGGTGCTCAAATGGTGGTGGTGTTCACCAGGGATTTGGGGGTTAGGGAGTAGACACACATCTGAGGGATGTGGTGAGCATTGTGGAGGGGAAGGGCATACCTCTAACCCTTGCTAGGGAGAGGCAAAGATGTAAAATGTAACCAAAATGTTTGTACTTTCATATTTTCTTGGGAAAAAAAGAAATAGGGAAAAATGCAATAGAATACCCACGCCTTGGCAACATGCCAGAAAAATGCTTTCTTGCTCTTCAACCACTTATTGCTGTGAATCTACATTCTCCTACCTAACCCAAATTAAAACACCCTTAAGGTCACAAATGACTGATACCCATCTAGAGGACCCACTGAAACTGCAGACCTCTGTGCTGCACCCAAATATTCAAATGCTTTCCAAAAGAAAGTAGACACAACAAAGTCATTAAAAGGCTAGTTAACTTTGAAATTAACAAATCATCTTCATTTTTTGAAATTAAGTATGTAGTAGTTAGATTTTTTAAAATAGTGTACATTTTTAAGTATATCTGATTGAAGTTTTGAATGCAGCCTTATTTGATTACAGCTAAATTCATGTGGCCTTCTCGCATGAAAAGCTTCCCCACCCCTGGTCTAAAAACATTTGCATTTCATTCCACATGACCATACTTCTCAAAGTTATTTAGCCTTAGCTTTATAATTAATTAGGTTCAATAGCCACCAATGGTTTTAGCCTTAATTTTAATTAATTTATTACTATTATTATTTTTAATCACATTTTCTCCATTGCTGAGATCTTTATTTTTTTCCTCTTTTTATTGTTTGGATTCCGTCATTAGATAAGTTTGTTTCAGAGAGGTTCATGGGGCCTGAGTTTCCTGAATTCTTGGATGCTTGAATATTAACTGCCTTTATACTCAATTGAATAAGAAATTATCAATCATACTTCTTTCCTTCAGAAGTTTGTAAATATTGCTACACTCTCTTTCAACAGTGAATATTGCTGTCAAGGAATCTGAGACTGACATGATTATTTAATCCCATGTATTTGACTTTACTTTTATCTGTGTACCCATTGGATTCTTTATCTCTACAGTTCAGAAACTAAGACAGGATATGTCTTGGTGTCTATTATTTTGAATCAACTTTTCCAGGAACATATGTGCCTTCTCAACAAACAGATTCTGGTCTTTAGTTCAGGGAAATTTTAAAAATATTTTATCTTTGAGGGTGTTTTTTTTTTCTGTTCTATATGGTCTGTTCTTTTCTTCCAGCACACACATTTGTTCTTTTATGTCTTCTATATCTATCATCTTCTCTCTAACCACTTAAATATAGTTAATATTTTCCTTTTCTTTGAGTGATTTCCTAAAGCCAATTCACCATGCCACATGATATTCTTGGTAATATGCTTCTCCCTTTTATTATTTCTACTTGAGCTCTCAATGCTAATTTCTTTTTTCCTTTTCTTTCTAAAATTCTGCCAGATCCCCTTATTTTTGGCTCTTTAACCTCTTATTTAAAGTAAGGTATGGAGTGGTTATCACATTATCTGCAATAATTATTTGAATGAATGGAGAATTATTTTTCTGATTTCCTCCATAGTTTCCTTGAGCAATTCCTATTGGGATGTTTATCTCCTTTTTTCCCCTATGTTACTCTCCCTTTTACTTTTGCAATATCTATTCATTGTTATTGTGATAATTATTATGTTTCAATGAAAATCAATGCATCATCTGTAACATACTCTTTTGGGTTATCAGATTCTAGACCCGATTGTTGTAATTATCTTAATTCTATCCTTAGAATTTTTTGAAGCAATAATAGGATTAAATCAGACATGATTAATCAATCTAGTACTTACGATTTACTATGACATCTTACTGTATTCTCAAGCCTTAAAATGGCCTAAATGCCATTGGTTGGTAATACTCCCAAATCCAGGCTTCCACTTGCAAATTCCTTTGTGCCTTACCTTGTCCCTAAAACTTCCTCTCCAACTGTCTTCATGGGGCCCTCATGATGCAGGGCAGAACCTTGAGATTGGTCATAAACGTCTACTTTCATAACTTGTTTATACGTCTATACTGCCTACCCCTTGGTTACAACACAGCCTGGAATGACTGTTCTCAAGTAGTACACTGTTGGGAGCTGTCCCGAACACGGGAGAGTTAAAGTGCGGTTGCTGCCCGGAACACTGGGGTCCTTGAGACATAGCACCTGGCGCCTTAACTCAGAGCTCTGACATTCTTGACCTTTCTTCTAGCTCACAGAGGGTGCTGGAGATGGCAATAGCAGTTATAGAAGGTCACTGAAGTAATCCTGTGCACACAGCCCTCGCAGCTTATAGCCGCCCCCCCCCAAGCCCTGCACACTCCTTTCCCAGAATTGTTAATTATGCTTGGGTGCTCTTTTCCTTGAACTGTCTGAGTGATCATAGTTGAGTATTTGTAGCTTTTTGATGTCAGAAGAAAGTTAAGTTGTAGATTAGAAAACTTCTTAAGCGAGGGAAAGGGCTATCAAAGTGACGCATGGTTGAGAAAAAACAAGAACTGTTGTGTTTTCTGGTTTAATGAAGACATGTACCACCTGTTCCATTGCATTTCGCTTCTCCTTTGTTCTTATCTGTATAAGTACAGCAACTGAAATAAACGAGGCATGGCAGTCACCAAGGACTCCGTCCTCCCGTCCCCATCTTTTTGTTGTCTCTTCATTACTCAGCCTCACCCCCTAACTCCAGGTGCCGCACGTCGCCGGCTGGCTCTGGCAGTACACATCTGATCCATCATTATTGTGCATATTCTTTTATTGTGCATATTTTTTATTTTAAATTTTGCTAAAGTTCCCAGTGACATTTTTAAAATTTTATTTCATTCTGTTTTTGAAAAATGGAATGTTTCACGAATGTGCCTGTCATCCTTGCACAGGAGCCATGTTAATCTTCTCTGTATCCGTCCAATTTTAAAATATGTGCTGCCAAAGCGAGTACCCTAATGACTTTAGAGACGGACCCCTGATTTAAGAAACTGTATGATCCAAATACAAATAGAACAAGATAATGTTGAAGCTGGAAGGGATTGTTCATTCCGGGGTTTTCGACTGGCCCCCATAGGCAAGATCAACAGATCTGCACTGTTTGGCTCACACATAGTTGAAAGAAATTGATTTGCATGTTGATTTCCCAGCACTAAATGCCCTACATCAGGCCCCTTCGCTTATTCCTATCTGCTAGACCCTGTAAGCACACACAGATTATTGGCATTTCAGTACTTTGAGAGGGGGACACTTTGCTATTATTACAATCACCAAGATTATCTTAAGCTGGTGATGCCTTTTGACTGGAGCTATTATTTTAAGGTATGTTTTAAATATGTTAAATATATTTATAAAATGACTATTAGATTTTATTTTGTTTTTGTAGATCTGCTATGTATATAACTTTTTAAATTTCTATTTTGTTCATCTCTACTAATTTGCTATCATAAGATATTTTTCCTCTTAAAAATGTAAATGAATTAGGAGAAGAAGGTGGGTCATGGTGCCTTTAATCTCTCCTATGTGCCATAGTCAGAAAAAAATTGTGAACTTCTACCTTTCTGGGATTTCCTCGTCCATTATTTCCTTTGCCTTCTTTTAGTTCCTCCAGGCAAAACTGCAGAACCTGGCACTTAACTCCAGCAGGGCTCTGCCGGCTCCTGGTATTCTCAATTTATCTGTCATCTCTACCATGGAATCTGATACTTTTCTTTGTTTTCTGACAGTGAATTGCCCATAGCTGCCTGGGAAGGTGGTGGCTGCCAGTTTCCTGAAGCAAAGCAGTGATACATTATTTCTGATGTTTTCCTCTTTGACACCAAAAGAGTGACACGTATGTGATGGGCAGAAAGAAAAAGACAGGAAAGGAGAGTAAAGAGGGGAGAAGTGGTGAGGCCCCACCCATGGCCCCTTTCTTTTTTGTTCCTTCTTCCAGCCAGCACCCAGGAGCTGCCCGTTGCCTGCTCAGGTGACAGGTGAGTGTTCTCGGATCAGGGTGTAAGATGTTGTGTGCAGTGCAAAGCGGATGAAGCTAGTGGCTGCCTGCACAGCCTGAACTGCAGGCCAGCCCACGTGGCCTCTCCTTTCTGGTGGTATCCCTTCTGAGGAAGGTGGATGTGGTCACACCAAAGCCACACTTTCCATAATCATCAAGTCCATATTGTTTCTTCTGACATCGCCATGCAGATTCGTGACCCAGAGGGTCATAGGGCTGTTTGAGGCAAAATTACCTCCTTGTTGTTGGAGCACTGACCCACAAGTAATCCCCAAGCTCACAAGGCAGAGAGAATTGCACGGGGCCACACGGGCTGATAGTGGTGGGTGGATGGGGGGTGGGGAGATGAGCACCCAGGGCCCAGGGCAGCTCCACGGCACCTGCTTTGACTGTCACCTCCCCTCGTAAGCCGAGAAGTGCTCACTTAGATACCACCCACTCACCCATCCCTGCTCAGCGGGTGGCAGCCATGTCATCTGCATCCCTCCTCTGCTCAGACCAGCACCACTGCTGGGGAGGAGGAGGCAGAGGAGGGGACAGAGAGGAAGGGGATAGAGAAACACTTGGGTGCATTTCTGAGTCTTATTTCTCATTTCCCCTTTCCCCACTGCTGATTGCAACACAGCAACTTCCTATATATACACCGTTTATTAAAAGAATTTATGGTCCACATCAGCCTAGTGGGAACTCTGCTGGTAAATGTTCCCTCGGCCAAAGGAAAAGCAAGCAGGTGGCTGAGGGGGAGGATGTGGGCCGTGGAGGGTAGAGCGTGCAGAAGCTGAAGCGGGCTAGGGCTCATCCCTGAGTTTCTTCCTCCTGTCCTCAAACTCCTTATGGCCAAAGTCCCAGCTGTTTCATGGGTTGGTGTGGGGTCACACTTTCCTAGACTGCTCGAGACAGCCGGAGAGGGGAGAGGAGGACGGAAGAGCACTACAGACAGAGATCGCGGGGTGACCATTTAAAGCTAGAAGCCACTATTGTACCAATGCTAACATCTCTAGCTCTGAGCCTAAAAAGTCAGTGCAGTAGGAGTCTCCTGGCTTTTAGTTGCTAGGTTTACTCTCTGAGATAATGATCAAACTTAGCCAGCGTGGCAGAGAAGGGAGAGGAAAGGAGTTGTGCAACAAGGTGCAGCAGTCTTGACTCTTGCACTATGGTCGGTACTTGCACAGGAAATGCTGGCGCTTGTTGCATTCATTGCTGTTCCAAGCTAAAAAGTCTGTAAGAAAATAAACAGACATTTACATTCGCCTGCTTCTATATTGAGCTGACCAGATTATCTGGGTGTTTTGCTTGGAGTCATGCCTAAGGTCATATGATGCTTGATTTTATGTGTCAACTTGGCTAGGCTATGGTGTCAGTTGTTTGGTCAAACCCAGTCTAGATGTTGAAGGTACTTTCTGGATGAGGTCCATTTACGTCAATGGACTTCATGTAAAGCAGGTTGCCCTCTATCACATGGGTGGGCCTTGTGCCATCAGTTGAAGGCCTTAAGAAAAAAGACTGAGGTCTCCAAAGAAGAAGGAATTCTGCCTCCAGACCGCCCTTGCACTCAAGACTGCAACATCAACTCTTGTAGGAATTTCCCACCTGCTGGCCCGAGCCGTGGATTTCAGACTTGCTAACCCTGCAACTGCATGAGCCAGTTCCCCAACTGATACACACTTTGCATGTATTAAGATGATCAGCACCATTATTTCCCCCCTTTTATGGAGGCATCTGAGGCACAGAGAAATAAGAAATCTGCACATGGTAACACAGCTCAGTGAAGTGGAGGAGCTGAAATTCTACCCTGGGCATTCAGAATCCAGCACCCATGCCCTTGTCCATAAATTATATTGAATGTGAATTTTCTTTTAACTGGAAAACTCTAATTATCAATATGAAATGTCTCCAAGTGAACCAGTAGTTAAGTCTGGAAATTCTGTGAGCTGCAATTTTCCAGAGACACAAAGCAGTGACATTGTGATAGAAAGGGGAGAGTCAGAAAGGCTGAGAGCAGGACACAGAATAAAGTGCCCCTCAGTTCTATCTAAAGAGACACAAACAAACAAATGGATCCTGTTACAGAGGGAAAGAGAATGAATGTGTGGCTGTGTTTTGGGGACATTAATATTATACCTTTTGAATTAAGAAAAAAAATAGCAACTGAGTCTGGGGGCAAAATCCATTATACAAAAATAAAACGACATTGACGGGGCTAAGGGAGATGTGCTTTGAAATTCTACCTTCCACCAGTTTTTCTCGAGTCCTTGCCTCATTCCTTGTGTTTTTCTGTCTGAGGAGCCTGTGTTCTGGGGTGAGTAACTGAGGGAAAGGAGGGGAACCCAGAGTCGTGGAGTTCTCAAGACGACATTGGGCTTCCAGCTCCCATTGATACAACACGAACAAGGTCACTGTGGACCTTTGCTGACATGGTCATGGACTGACAGGGGCAGGGTTTTTGTTTAAGAACCTCGTCCAGTAGGAATCTCAGGACCCTGGGGACAGGAGGGGCGTGGGGAGGCGTCTGGTCTACTGCTTGCCAAAAGCTGTAGACCAGCTTCCAGTCCCAGAGATTCGGATGGTATAGGTCTGAAAAGAGAATCCCTGGGATTTTTATTTTTAAGCTGTTCCTCTCATTTGATTATTTTGTGCCATCGAGCTTCTCCTCTAACATTTTAATGCTTCAACTGCAATAAAAACCACAGGGTCTACCTTTTCCTTGGTTCACTCTAGTGACGGGTTTCTCACTACTTCCTGAGGTAGCCCATTATGTGTTTGAACAGTACTAACTGTTCGAGACTTTTTCCTTCCTTTGGGTAGAAAGCCACATTAGTGGCGTCTACCTTCCGGGCTTCGTTGTGATCCTTCCATCTGAGCTGACTTGTGCCCTGAACAGCAGCAGCTGTGGTCTCTGCTGGGCTCTGAAAATCCTTTCTCTGGCTTTTTCTCTCTGAAGGTCTTCCTCGAAGTGTGTCTCCTCATGTCCATCCTTTACCCCTTGTTGGTGGAAAGTTTTCTGTTTTCTTGTTCATGCTCACAAGCTTTATTCCTCAGAAAACAGTCAACTCCGCTCCATGCCCTGTGGGAGCAGCCGGGTCTCTCTCCACCTCAGCCCTGGTACCCTCGTCCTCGGGCTGGGCTCCATCCCAGACCCACTTCTTAGCCAGCAGAGGGTCCTGGCAGCAGGTCACTAGGATGACCTGTTGTACCCACTGAGATGTTCTCAAACACATTAGCTCTGATGGCAAGTCTTTTTATCTTTAATATCCTGCGTTCTTGTTTTACAGCTGAAATCTTCCATATGACTTATTAGCTGTGGTCCTCAACAGGGGGCAAATCTGCCTGCCACAGGGGACACTTGGCAATACCTGGAGATATTTCCAGCTGTCACAGCATGGGAAAGTTGTGGCATCTGCTGAGTAGAGACCGGGAATGCTGCTGAATCTCCTACAGTGTACAGGGTAGCCCCTACCACAAAGCATTATCCAGCCCAAGATGTCATTGGTACCAAACTTATTAGCATAAAGAGCAAAGAAGAAAAGCAGGCTGGGGAAAGGAGACGGCTCAAGTGATTGTGTACAGCTTGCAGCTAGTGTTCCGGCCCCTCGTTTTTGGGGGACAGGAGTCAGGGAAACGAACAAGAGGGAAGAATCCAGGCAAAGTCTGGGTTTCCAGGGCTCATGGGGAACCCTGATTTTAAAGAAGTCAGAGGAATTCACCTGCTTTTACCCTGTGGTCTGTGTTTCCCAAAATGTGATGGATGTCCCTCTCTTAGTATACAATATGATTCTAAAATAAATGTATTTAAGAACAAATGAGTGGATTTAAAGAAAACATTGAATAAATAACTAAACAGCTGGCACACTGATACGGCAAAGATTGTACTGTGGTTACAGAGGACTGAAGGTTGGTGACCAATGTCTGTGGCAAGGCCATTGCCCTGTGGGAGAAAAGTGTTGCCCCATGGGAAATGGGGAGGGTGGGAAGGGAGGGCCCCTTACTTCCATTTTGCCCTTCCTAGGTGAAGAGAAGGCTGCACACTGGGGAGCAGTGAGGATGACACACTGGAACTTACTGTTACTGGAGCTCAGCTCTGCACAGTGCTTGCTCCCACCCGTGGCCTTGCTGGACCAGGGCCTATACAGGTACGTGTCCCCGTCCATCCACTGCCACTGCTGCTTCTGCAACGACAGGAGGTGGAAGAAATTACAGGTCGGTGCCCCCCGCCTGCTCACAGCCAAAGTGGTCCCCTTAGTCCCCTTTAAAACTTAGTTTTCATTGCAAAAACTGGGAGAGTACAAGAAATGCATAAAGAAGGAAAAATAGAAGAGTCACTCTTCTATTCACAACCACTAAGAGGAAAACATTAGCATAGTTACTTAGGGTATAAATATTTTCATGTACCATTACATTTTGTTATGTACCAAAAATGTGATCTTTAAAATATATATTCAGTTTTGTGTCTTGCCTTCTGCACATTTTTTTAATGGTAAGGATGTACTGTAATTTACCTTAATATTCTATTGATTGATAGGTATGTTGTTTCCAATGTACAATTATTATAAAGAATACTGCTATGAACAATTTTGTTTATAAACCCATTTCTGCACTTAAAGTTATTTCCTTATGATAGAATCCCAGAAGTAGAATTAATGGGGCAAAGAGTATAAAATTGTGAGGTTATTGATATGCACTGTCAAAGTACTTTCCAAAAATAGTTCCGTTGTAGGAATTTACATCCTCACCAATTGGGCACAAGGACAATTTCTCCATATCCATAAAAATATTACTTATTAAGACAAAGCAAAAGTTTGACAATCTGAAAAGTCAAATTATATTGTTATTTTATTTGCATTTCTTTGATTACTAGAGACATTGCACAATTTTTAGAATGTTTATTTGCCACTTATTTTCTTCAATCATAAATGTAAAAGATTGGACTACAAAAATATCTTATGGACATAGATGTAAATATCCTATCTCTCCATGACAGAGTTCTGATTAATAGCCAGGTGAATATAGAAAAATGTAAAATTTCTGATAGTTAAATAAACACCATTAAAAGCAAAATAATTACATAAAATATTTGTAACAACTATGGCAAAGGATCACTAGTTTTTCTATAACATAATGTTCAAGAGGGGAAAAGCATGAAGATACTATATTTACAGATGAATACGAAAGGATAAACACACATTCGTGAAAGAGGGTGTGTGAATGTGTGGCATCCTTAAGAGTTTTATCAAGAGACAGAAAGTACGGCGACTCTGTCCTTATGTTCCCCATGTTTGTGTGAGTTAACTATAGAAGCCCAACAACGAATCTGTAACCGCAGACCCCCTCCTCAAAAAAGACCTCACATGCCATTCCTTACAATAAGGCAGGCGTCCTCGGGCCACATGCGGGTGTTTTTGCCCGTTTGTTTTTTTTACTTCAAAACAAGAAATGTGCAGTGTGCATAGGATTTTGTTCATAGTTTTGTTTAAAACTATAGTCCAGCCCTCCAACAGTCTGAGAGACAGTGAACTAGTCCCCTGTTTAAAAAGTTTGAAGACCCCTGCAATAAGGTATTAATGAGAGAACACTAAGAGCCTAGTGAAAAACATCAAGGATAACATAATAAACGTAAGAACATCTAAGAAAAATGTTAGCTGAAAGTTTTCAGCTTTAACTCAAGATTGAATGGGGATTTAATTAATCTGAGTCTCATAACAGGTCTGTGCACACACGCACACACACGTATACAATACAAACTTTTTCTTTGAAGGCTCTGGAAAGCTGGTAATTTTGTGTTCTAAGATTCAGGAGGACCTTAATTAAACAGAAGCTCTATGAAATGGCGCCGTTTCAATCCTGTTCTCCACTGAGAGCGAGACCCGCCACCCTTGTTAGCAGGCCCGGAGGCCGTCTCCCAGGAAGGCCCTCTCCATCTGGCCTTCCGAAGAGGGACACGTCCGAGGGCCGTATCTGAGGTTACCTTCTGCGGGTCATGCAGGCCAATCCATACAGGCTGGTTTCTCTGATAGCCTCTTATGTACTCTGCTATGACGCTGGCTTCCTTTAAGCTCAGGATAGACGCCAGGTGGGCTCCGTTTTCATAAGACTGACACTCGAGCTACATGCAAGGAGAGGTCCCATTAATGACGCCTTGAGGTGTAAAAGCACAGCCTTCTCGGCAGAACCCTCGTGTGCCAAGCAGAAGGGACTCGCACAGCCCTGTCTCCTCCAGAAGTTGTGACCTAACCCCCACAGCAGACGTCCTGTCACCGAGGGAGAAAACGCAACTGCCGCAGCCTCAGGTCCCAGGGGGAGAGACAGCTCAAGGCCAGAGCAAGAGATTTAGGGTCAGAGGAAATGCCTGGGGTCCTGGCCTTGCCCCTCATTAGTGCATGTGACCTTGACAAGTCACTCTACATCAATGAGGCTCAGTTTCCTTGTCTGTAAAATGGAGAAAATAATGACTGCTACTTGGGAGTTTTCATGAGGGCTAACTATATGATAATACTGCCGTTCGACAAATCTAAGAAACCACTGATTGTCAAATGTGCCCTTATTTTACATCTCACTAAGAAAGAAAGAAAAAAAATCACTGCCGATGAATCTATGACACACCGTTGTCAATAGCGCGCACCTGATTTCGGAGGTGTTAGAATGTGAACGCAGTGTGCATTGCGGAACAGCTGATACAGCAGTCCTCTTCACAGGACACCTCCCAGACACTGGGCGCCTCACATATGCTGTCGTGTTTAGTCCTAACAACAGTCTTAGGAAGTGGGGCCCGCTTTTACTTTACAGCTGGGGAACTGGAACGTCAGGAAACATATACTAGACACTGGAATAGAGCCCGTGCCTGCCTAACTCCCAGGCCTATGTCTTTGCTATTTTAAATTATTATTACCCTGTTGTTACACAAGAATAACAATACATTGTAAATTATAAACAGTGGTCTTTAACTTATTTTTACTTGCTACCAAATAAGTATAGGCTAAATTGCCTAAAAATCTGAGGTGGAGGAGAGGAGAGGAGACTCCTTGATAGTTTGGTCTAGAATTCCTGGGTCCCTGGAATTCACTTGCTAATTGAAGATTGTACCTGTTCATTTGCCTTTCCTCAATGGTAGCCACGCCATCAAATCTGGTCAAATTTGGGGGTTTCTTCCCACCAGATAAGCTGCACTAGAGGCTGATATGTAACTACCTGCTCAGCTACAACTTGTGAAAGTTTCAGCTCTAAATCCAAATCTGTTTCACTCCTGCATGTCTTGATACTGATCCCAAATTCTTCCTTCTTCCTTCTTCCTCTGCGAAGGTGCTACCTTCTTTCATATCCAAGGGTGTGCAATCTGAATTTTTCTTATAGATTAATAAACGATAATCACCCACTATTTTAAGGATTGTATGGAACACATACCATGATTAATTCTTGTTCTATAACCAGAAACCTATTGTCTGATTAAACAGGGCAAACATTTTTATGTATGTGTGTGTAAAAATTTTATTTTGTACACTTCTGGAGTTGTGTCACAGGATCTGTCTACCTGACAAGAAGTTGAAGTAATTTAATAAAAACATAGTTTGGGCTGTGGTTGTTTAGGCTTTTACCGCTCCCATTGTTGCTTTTACTATTTTACCCAAGATTTAAGACGTGATTACTGTTTAATAACAATTTAGTCCTCACACTTGCAAAACACCAAGATGCTTTTACACCTGTAATTCTACTTGATTCTCAAATCGGTAAGGCAAGCAAGCCAGATTGCCAGCCAGCATTTACCGAGTGCCAACCGTGTACCAGCCAGCAAAGAGTCCAGTCACAGAAGGGGAAGCAGGCGTGGCGTGTTTAGGTGATTACCTCCCCCGCCCCGCTTCACACAGCTGGTAGTGACGGATCTGTAACTAGAACTCAGACCTTTGCCTCTTAAGTCTGTGACCGGCTCTGCGTGTGCTTCTCACCGTTCCCTCCATCAGCAGCACCGGGGAGGAGTCAGTTCCAGGCCCGCTGGCTCTCCTTTCCCAGCGACCTCCGGCTCTCTGGTTCCAGGCTTGGTAACTTCGGAATTAATCCCGTGGGCTGGTCTTTCTTTGAGAACCTGAACTGAGCATCTGACATGTGCCATGGGCTCTGTGCAAGTTGTTTTCATGAATCCTCCCCACTGGCCATGAGTTAGAAAGCGTCGGCCCACGTTATAGTAGGGGCGACAGGCAGAGGGAGGTACAGCGTCACCTAGCGAGTGGCGGAGTGTGCTTGAGACGCAGGCCAATGCTGTCACAGAGTTCCTCAAGTTCCTCAGATGACATGGAATTAACACTGGCTTCTCTGGAGACAGGCGGCACAAGTGTCTTTTCAAGATTTCATCAAGCTACCTCCCAAGAACTGAAAGTCCACGGCTCTCCATGAGCATTTTTTCCTTCCACAGCCCCAGTCTGGAAAATCCTTTCTCAACACTTTCTCTCTCCACTGCCCCCCCTTCTCTCTCTCTCTCTCTCTCTCTCTCTCCATACAATTATTCAGGACTCAGCTCAGACTTTGCTGGGTTTGTTCTGCTATTGACTCTCAGTGTAATCTTGGAAAAGTCGTTTATGCTCACACCGCATTGAATTTTCTATTTATATGTCACAAGCCTGCATCAACCCTGGACGTTTTAAGGCCAGAGAATACTTTTTATCCTCAGTGGCTGTCGTGTGTGAGGTGCCCATCCCCGCCTTCTCTTTTTTCCCTGTCGAGTTATGTGCGGGGATTCAGGCCACCCGGGCCCAGATCATGCCACAGTGTACCCAGGGGCTCCCCAGTCGGCCACTTCAGTCCAACAATTGCCTCACAATTCAAAGAGCACTGACCGCCCACACTTGGCTGAGGGGACTGACTTTGACTATCTGTTTGCTTATCCCTTAGACACAGCCTCCGTGGTAAAATCGCTGCGTCTGTGGGCTGTGTGGGCGGTGGCCCTTCCCTCCCTGGGTTTGGACTGCTCCCCCTGTCGGGAGGCTCCGAGGCGTCTGTTCCAGGCCTATCTACGCATCGCTCTCTTTCTGTCAAATCCCCTACAAAAACTTGGTTATTCTTTCTGTAAGTCCCTCATCTTCTCATCCTTCCTTGATTTGCATAGTTTTGTCTTCTGTAATGACAGTGAGCACGTTGAGGACAGGGCCCATTTCTTATCCATCCTTACGTCGTTGCAGCCCAGCCCGGGTCTGGGCATACAGCACCCGCTTCCTCTGTGCTCACAAAATGGAATGAGTCTCTCCACTTGTGCAGACAGGCGGCTGCTCCTGACAGTGCCAAGGAAGGACACTGCTCCTGGACCAGATGAGATCTGAGGCTCAGGCTGGCCCCTTGCTCTAGAGAAGCCAGTCCAGCAGGAAGCAAACTCTTACCTCAGCATCAGACCAGCTCCTCAGCTTCCGGAAGTATCCATAGCAATTGGACCTGTAGTAAAACCAGCCATTGGCACAGCTGGGCCTCATGATGATATCTGCACACAAACAGAAGGTGATTACAAGTTCTGATAGAGACATCAATCTGTTCCCAGGCTCGATACGGTTTGGACGTCCAGAACCCCTTGAATGGAGATAAGAGTCCCTTCAGGAAGGACCTTGCTACTCTGCCCAAAATTTATAATGTTAATCTTTCTCCCAGCCTTCCCCAAAGGGACCTATGACCTTTCACCAGCCAGATCAGGCATTGTTAAACAATCAGACTTTTCTGGGATTCCTGGACACTGGATCTGAACTGACACTCATTCTAGGAGACCCAAAATGTCACTGTGGTCCCCAGCCAGAGTATGGGTTACAGAAGTCAAGTGATCGAGAGAGTTTCAGCTCAGTGTGTCTCACAGTGGGTCCAGTGGGTCCCCAGAACCTACCCTGTGGTTATTTCCCCAGTTCCGGAATACATCATTGGAATAGACATGCCCAGCAGCTGGCGGAATCTTACCTGGGTAGTGCAGGTCAAGCAACTATAACTTAAGGCAGCACAAGAATGGACGAGGGGCATGAATTGGTGGCTTTGGGCATCACTAGGAGGAAGACGTCTTTTGGCGTGGGGGACACGGGACAGGTGAGATGGCCATTTGGCTGGAACTTGAAACTAGATGGGCTGTGTGTCCGTATCAAGGAGGGGGGCATTTTGGGCAAAAGGCATGGGCTGGGCAGGCGAGTGGAGACAGGAATGTACAAGGCACACACAGAAACAGCAAGCGCTTAAGTCTCCCCGAAGTGCAGGCTGTCGGTCAGGCAACCACGGCAGAAAGGAATAGGGGAGAGTCAGGGCCTAGACGCAAAAGAAGCGGAGATTCAGGGAGGCCCGCACTCTTCCTGCTGGTCAGCTGGTGGACAGGCCACGTCGCTGAACTTAAAGGTTTATGAAGAGGGGGAGGTGGCTGGATGAAGGGGACACCAAGCTAGCGAGTTTGGGCTTTGTGGCAACGTGGCCTCCTCTGACACCACAGGTGGATGCCAGGGTCTTTCCTGCCACAGCGGATGTCCGCAGACTACAGTTGTCACAACCAAGTTTCCTCTCGCCCCACTCAAATGACACCACTGTAACTTGTTTGCCCCACTCTTAGATTTAATTTCATCCTCTGCCTATAAATCTCCAAGGACTCCCCACTGCTTTCAAATAAGCTCCCTGCTTATCTAGCTTTTAAGAGATTTTACAACCTGGTCGTATCACTCTATCCACCCGTGTCCTTCTACGCAGCAATCCCGGCTCTGTTTGGAACATGATGCTCATTACAGATTTAGATCTTTTGTGTGTGTGACTCCTTGCATCTGTGAATGATGGATAATGACTAACCTAGCTAAGGCCTGGCAGAAAAGGTTTCGAGGGGTACCTCAAATATACTAGGAACAAACAGCAAAGATACTCATGTATTTAAATGCCTCACCTTCTACTACCTTTAGAAATATGGACATAATTTTATGTTAAATAGAAAGCTAGCCTTTATGCCATTGCTGCTACTACTGCCGCTATCACCAACTTCCATCTATAAGGTGCTTTCTGGGTGCCAGGCACCACGCTGAGCAGTTAATTACCTTTTCCTCATAATAGCTTAGGGAGGCAAGGAAACTGGTTAAGGTGGTCACCTGCCCAAGTCACACAGTAAGATGGAAAAGCTACTTTACACATTTAGTTCTATGACTTAAAAACCTATGTTTCTGCCATCAACCCTCCCAACTTTGGCCTTTGCCTGTCAATTCATGAGTGGATTATTAAAATTTGGTATATGTATACAATGGAATATTCTCAATTATAAGAAACGACAGTGATCTAGCACCTCTTATATTTTCCTGGATTGAGCTTGAGCCCATTATCCGAAGTGAGGTGACACAAGATCAGAAGAATGGGCTCCACTTGTACTCGCCATCAAATTGGTACTGACTGATTAACACTACGGTGCTCACATGGTAGTAATATTCTCCAGGGATGGGGGGTTGGGGCGGTAAACTCACAACTGTAGGACACGGTGTGCCTTGTGGGGGGGTAGGGCATGCCTCTAACCCCCGCTAGGGAGAGGCAGTGATATGAAGTGTAACCAAAATGTTTGTACCCTCATAATATCCTGAAATAAAAAAAATTTAAAAATAAAATAAATTTTAAAAAAAGAGGTCGAGAATTTTTGCATCTATATTCATAAGGGATATTGGTCTGTAGTTTTCTTTTTTTGTTGCATCCTTTCCTGGTTTTGGTATCAGGGTTATGTTTGCTTCATAAAATGTGTTGGGGAGAATTCCATCCTTCTCAATGTTGTGGAATAATTTCTGCAGGAGTACTATTCAGCTTTAAGAAACAATGGTGATATAGCACTCTTGTATTTTCCTGGATAGAGCTGTAACCCATTCTACTAAGTGACGTATCTCAAGAATGGAAAAACAAGCACCACATGTACTCACCAGCAAATTGGTATTAACGGATCAACACTTAAGTGGACATATAGGAATAACATTTATCGAGTGTCAGGTAGGTGGGGGGGGCATGGGCAATATACATAACCTTAACATTTGTACCCCCATAATATGATGAAATAAAAAAAAAGAAATAGAAAAAAAAGAGGTCAAAAAATATAAATGTGAAAAAAAAGAAATTAGAAATTTACCAACAGAAATAATTAGAGGGTTGGGATTACTCAGTTATTTTATCAGGAGGAAGGAAAGCAAAGGAGAGCCTTGATTCTGAAAGTAAAAATTGATCTTGTTAAGAGGAGGCTGGCCATTGATTACCATTCCAAAAGGGATAGGTAATGGAATGGGCTTGAAGTTCCGGAGGGGCAGCTGGAGAGATATCAGGAAGCATACCTCCCACTAACACTGATGAAGACATTCTGACAAGGTGGCAAGCAGGACCCTCTGGCCATGAGTCTGAGGACAAGGACCCCTGACATCACACTTGATGTCCCTAATTCAGTTCATTGTGATTGTCTTGTGCACTCTGAGGCAATTTTCCTCGGCATTCTGTGCACAAACATGTGAGGACAGATTCCCTGCCACCATGGTATTTATTTCCCCTGAATCCAGGTAGTGAGAGCAGAGTCCTAGGGATACACACGGAGGCCCCGGACCAGGTCAGGACAAAGGAGGCGCAAGATCACTCTCTAAGGCAGCTGTCGGTAATCTCTCTCTCTCCTTTCTCTGTCTCTCTTGTGTCTCTGTCTGTTTGCGTGTTGTTCTCTGTCTCTGCCCATCTCTCTGTGCAATTTTCTCCCTGTATGCATCTCTGTGTCTTTCTTTTTCTCTCCCTGTCTTTGCACTCTCTGTCCCTGTCTCTGTCTCTGTTGTCTCTGTGCCTGTGTGTCTGTCCTTGCCTATGACTCCTTCACCTGTGTCTCTAACCCTCATCTACCCACCCCACCCCACCTGAATCTCCCTTCTCCTTTCTGCCCCTCACCCTGCAATATTGCAGCTCTAGCTGAGCACCCCGTGGTGGAGACAGTTTAACTCACTGCTGCTCTGCCTTCTACTATTCCACATGTTTATTGAGCATTTACTACATACCTGGCACAGTTCCAGGCAGTTTACACATATTCCAATCATCTTCACCATAACCATGTCCTTATCCTCATGTTCCAGATAAGGAAATGAAGGCAGAAAGAAGTTGTTATGGCCCAGGGTCCCACAGCAAAAAAGCAATAGAGGCAAGATTTGACCCCAGACAGTCTGACTCCAAGTCTTAGTCATCTTAGTCACTATGCTCAAGGTATTGGTTTTAAATCCTGTATGGGCCAAGCACGCTCACTCAAGTTACCTTGTTTGATTATCAAGGCCTCCATGAGGCATAGGGGTGGATATTCACTTCCATTGTACACATAAGGAAACCTCCTCAGAAAGGTGAGTGACCAGCTGAGGTCACCCAGAAGGAGAGTGAGGTGGGAATGGAAGAGGAGCCCACGTGTCCTCAGCAGCCCTAGAGCTCTGAGCCCAGCTGTCGTGGTGCCAGGGCCGCTCATCACTACACATGCAGTGTCAGGAAGTCTCAGCTCCCAGATCTTGCCTGGACAACTCTAATAGCCTTTCTACTCCATTGTTTTCTAGACGTGTGACCTTGGGAATGTTATTTTATCTCTCTTAGCTTTAGTTTTCTTGTCTGTACAATGGGACCACCAACAAATACCTTCTTCATAGGGTTGCTATACATGAAATAATGCATGTATAGTCATTAGCACATAGCCTAGCATGTGGTAATTGTTCAGTAAATAGTAGCTAATTGAAAAATTATAGCTATTAAAAACCATCAGCCTTATTATTATGCAATATTTGCTCCTGTCTTTCGCCTTACTGAATCAATGGCATGCATTGCATCAGGTGAATAGCAGCTACCCGCCAGGACAAAGAAATCACTGTGTCGGCAATAAGAACTATACTCTTCACCACCAGGTCCTGTCGAGAGAGAAAATTGACTTCTGAATCCCCCATAGGTCTCTTAAGTGCAAGATTGGACTTTTTCCATTAAGTGGTAGTGCAAAGACCATATAGAATATGTCATAAAGGATGTTCCCCCAAGATAGGAAGACTAAGTAGAAAGTCCTTCTATATCTGGGAGGAAGATCTATCTGGAAAAGGGCAATAGTAGGACCTGTGATGAATGTTCTGGCTGCACCTCCTCCCAGGGAGAGAAACCAGAGGTTGGTGAGATCCCAGGGATGAGGATGGGTGTTGTACCTCATTCCCCAGGAGATAGCTTGGGCAAATTTCAAGCCCTTTTAAGGAAGCCTGAGGTCAGCACAAAACCAAAGCATCAGGGAACCACCTGACCATATAGAAACAGCTACAAAAGGCAGCTCTGCAGGAGTGGCTCAAGGGCAGCCTCCCAGAGTCTTGCACACTCTTGCATGGTTCAGAGAAGGTGGCTGAGACCCACAGGTCCTAAGCAGCCATCGATGGTTGAGAGAACTAACTGGTGGCTGGAAATGGGAGTGGGGTTGAGGGCAGAGAGCTCTGGAGTACAAGGACTTGTCAAGTGTAGGCTATGGCAGGGACCACAAACTTCAGCCATGGGGGCCAACACGATGCCCAAAGAACCTTGTTTCTCTTAGTATTTCCTCTCAGTGGATCCTCCCCTTGGCCAAGTGCATTCCCCAGTGGGAGAAGTGATAAGTTACAGATAGCACTGGACCCTCAGGAGGCCCTCTTCTGAACAGAAGTGACACTCAAGCATGGAACTACACTCACTCTTCTCTTCCACATGCAACTCCCAGCAAGGCCTGGTAGGACTGCAAAAGTCACCCAAGACTAGGAGCCAGGGCATCACATAGTCTTGCTGTATGACCTTGGACAGTCTCTCCTCTTCTCTAGATCTCATTTTCCTCATAAATAGAGCAACGGAGTTACACCAGACAAGCCCACATTTCATTTCCTTCCATTTCAGGTGTTCCATGATAGTCTTAGCTCACTCATACTGTTTTCTTCCCCTGTGCTCTCCATTGGTAGATTCTACAGTATTGCTACTAACTTGCTGACATGCTACTTTGCATTTGATGCTTGGTTTGTAAGCGTGTAAGAGCCAGCTCTCTAACTCAGTTGCAGGTCCCTTGCAAACTGGAATCTCTGATATGCTCAGAAAAGAAAACAGTGGATGAATATTGGGAAATTTTAATTACAGCTATGACTTATTAATGGTCTACTAGGCATCAGGTGCTCTACCCTTCACAATTAGTTCAAAAAAATAGCATTATAGTTTACACTTCATTGATGATTTTAGTATGGCTTACAATCATATAGAGTTGAATTTTGTTTGATTCTAGAGTCCTTACACTTTTTACCACATCAGATTGTTTCTCATTCCCATCTTTAAAATTTATTTCCTGCAGTGCCTAAATATTTTCTCGGCGGGTGAGTGGATGGCCGTGTCCTGTGTACTGTGTGAACATTGGCCATGGGCTCAATCTCAACTAAGAGATGGGTACTCACCACCCAGGACTTCAGGATTGGCCACAAAGCTGAGCAGTAGGAGCAGCCGCGTGACTTTGGAAGCCATCTTCCTCTTCCCCGAGGACACCTCTACTGCAAGGATCTCAGAGTCCTTGCGAACTTTTCTTTGAAACTCCTGGATTTGCCTAGATCTGCAAATCTAAACATATTTGCACTGGTGAGAAACACCCAGGAATTCAGCTGCCATATCACACATATATGGAGGAAAAGAATACAGTATTTTTCTGTCTCAATCCAGATTTGACAATGAACAGAAACTCAAATTAAACGTAGAGATGAAAAATATTTCAACTTACGAGATTTTGTTCCCACCTTCAAGGCCTTGTGGGGCAGAACCAGAGACTTATCTACAGTGGGCTATGATTTGAAAGCTAGGGAGCAGGCGTCCTCAAACTATGGCCCGCGGGCCACATGCAGGTGTTTTAGCCAGTTTTTTTTTTTAACTTCAAAATAAGATATGTGCAGTGTGCATAGGAATTTGTTCATAGTTTTTTTTTCAAACTATAGCCCGGCCCTCCAACGGTCTGAGGGACAGTGAACTTGGCCCCCTGTTTAAAAAGTTGGAGGACCCCTGCTATGGAGAGCTTGCCCCTGTTATTTTCAGGAGAACCAGCAGAGGGCGTCCAAGGCAAGCTTTCTCACAGATGAAGTGGTGCTATCAGGGCTTTTCACAGTCAGGAAAATCAAATCAAGTGGTTCCAACACTGAAGTTTTTGATGTTAGAATTAAAAGTGAACCTATGGTTCAATACCCAGAGATTACAGATGAGAAAAATGTGAGGTCCAAGGGTGTGAAGTCACTTGCTCATGGTCACCAGCTACAAGCAGATCTGACTTTAGCTTAGCACTCTTTCTCTTATACTTACAGTGGATGTCACTTTTTTTTGGAAAGAAAATGGCTTTATTATACTTCCCCATTACAAAAAATAAATAAGTTAGTATTTATAAAATAGCAACACAAAACTAGAAAATAAGAAGGAAATCTCATCTCCTAGATATATATAATTTCATGAATAGCCTATAGATCTCTCTCTCTCTCTTTGTACAATTTTATGTAAATAGAATCATGTCATTCTGTAACTTGGTTTTGTTTCTCAGAAATAGATTGATTGTAATAAATGTTCTTGCATTCCCATAAATTTGATGCAGTTTTAATTTCTTCTTGTGTAAATTCACATATGCAGGGGTGCAATATTACAGATCATGCCCGTTGTCATTTGGGTACCCTTTTTCCTAAAATGCCCTCTGACTATACCATACATCCCACCAGTAATGTGTAGGAATGTTGGTTCCCCAACTTCCAATGGAAACTTAATTTTTCCAATTTTTAAAAAATTTTGGTATATTAAAGAAAAACCTTAGTTTTTTTTAATACTTTAAAATTGCTAATGAAACATCTTTTCATGTGATTAGCTTTTTTTGTTTCTTTTGTGAATTTTTGGTTTACAGCTTTGTACATTTTTCTATTTCATTATTTCTTTGTCAGTAATTTATAAGATCTTTTTTGTACAATTATTATATTTCACATGTTACTAACAGTATTTCCCAGTTTGTATTTTTTCTTATTTATATTTTTTGCCATTCTTAAATTTTTGAAGATTATATTATCATTTTTATGGTTTCCCTTACAAATTTTGGAATTTATATAAGAAAGACTGGTCATCACTGTCATATACGGTGATTATATATATTCCTCTATATCCGTTTTTATTTTCATCTATCTGGGCTTTATTTTAGTATAAGCATGGAATTGAGTTCTGAATTTTCCTCCTATGTAATTATTAAGATGAGCAATTCATGGAATTCTCATTTGACCATTCCTTATGATCCCCAAATCAGGATATATATGGGCTAACTTTCAAATAACAGGTTGCTTAAGGAGAATGGTCAAAAATGCTATTTGAAATGGAACTTTTCCTAGAAAACCTAATCTGGGGTCCATATGAATACTTCTGTGCAGAGAAGGAGACAAAACACAAAGAGAGTGGAGCTATGATACCTCCCCCCACTCCTTCTTAATCATTGCATGAACCTTGTACTCCTTTGCTAAACTTTCCTTCCACAAGTAATAGAATATTTTCAGTGTCTTGAAACCCCTTTAAATGCAAATTGTTAAAACTTCTCTGTCAAGCTGACTGTCTGGGGGAAGGGAGGTACAGCATTTTTAGATTAATCTATAAATGATTTTTAGTTATTAATAACTGGTATTCATCGAATCACTGTATGCCAAGTCATTTAACCCTCATAACTAGGCCACGCTGCAGTTATCATTAACTCATTTACAGATGAAGAAACTGACATTCATTGAGATTAAGTCACTTTCCCAAAGTTTCATAGCTACCAGACTGCAGAGCTATGATTTAACCCAACACTGTTGGACACCAAATCCAATGCTCTCTTTACAATGAGAGAAAAGTGAAAATAAGTAATTCAAATCAAACAATGCAGCAACACAAAGCCCGGCTAACATCCTTGGAGCTATAATTTGTCTGGCCTGGTTAATAGCTGGCAGAGGAAAACGGATGTTCAAAGAAAGCCCTCCACCCTCGACCGCAGGGAGGATTACCTGGTTGGCGATCAAGGCTTTGAGGATCTCTGCCTTCTTTAGTGTCTTGCATGGTCCCAGGCAAAGTTTCTGGAGCTCTTATACCTTCTTGCCTCAGGAATTAATAATCTTTATTTCAATCATAGAGCAATAATGTTGTTTACATATAATAATACATCCATATAAACCTTATCTGCAGTTTAAAAAAATGACTGTATCAGAGATGGCTTGAGAATGCATGCAAGTTGTGCTCTGAATAGCCAGGAAAGGAACCGCTCCCTGTGTGCAAACAGAATCTTTTCTTTACATCCCATTATCAAAACCGACAATATCCTATCATCTGTTCTAAGCTCATCTTCCTCTCCCCTTGTTTTACTTTTTCTCTTGTCTCTCTTTTTATCCCTTTTTCCTTTATTTCTCCTTCCTTTCTTGGAAAATATCCCTCTTCAACTCCAAAGAATCAGGTGTCTATCCTTGCAGAAAGGATTTGCCATCAGGGCCGGGCATAGATTATGAGATTGAGGTGCCCCTACAGGTCTCCTCCCTAGAGCACGAGCCCGGTCTCCCCCCAGCAGGCATCGCTTCCTTAAATATCTACTGTGTAGACATCTACAAGGCACTGAAATCTTATTCTCATGCAGGGCAATTAGGTCAAAGTAGCTTACACTGATAGAATATTTTACGATAAAGTGTTTGCATTTAAGTCATCAAATGAGATCCCAAGAAAATCCGTGAGCAACGCAGAGCAGTCATCCCCGTTACACACTCAGGAACCCGAGGTTAAGATCCATTAGGAAACCTGCCGCTGTTCACATGCTGGTCAGTGGTGGAGCTGGACATTGAACCCAGGCCTTCTGACTCCAAATCTAGCTCTGTTTACCGTGTTATTGAGAAATAGGCCATTTGAAAAGGGTAACGACATTTTCTTTTCTAGCATAGATGGCAAAGGATTAAACTAGGTTGTTGGTGGCAGAGATCATTCAACCTCAAACTAGAGACTTAAGTCTGTAAAGGACCTTTATATCTGGAAACTTTAAGTCTGGAATGGAGCGTGGTAGTGACAAGATCTTACTCTTTTGCTCTACTGGTGAGAAAGCCAGGGCCCAGAGAAATATCATGACTAGCTTAATTCCTAGTTAGTTATGGGTGAAGCTGATATCAGAAGCCAGGCTTCCTTGCTCCCAACCCAGTGTTGTCTTAAAAATGCTACTCAGCCTTTGTTGCTGGATTTTTCCATGCAAGTTCATGGTCGGATAGAGAGAGTAGTGTTTTTAGGGTTTACGAAGACTATTTTAGAGACCCTCTTCCATCCTGATGACGTGTTGGAGGAGGAGCACAAGGTTGAGCTTCCTATGGCTGGCTCTTGGTTGGGGTCCTAAATCTGTTACTCACTCACTGTGTAGCACTGGGCACACCACTGAACCTCTCTGAGCCTCGGTTTCCTAATCTGTATATGGAAGGATGGTATTAGCAGATGAATTTATTTTTTGCGCTACCTGTTTTTAACACAAGCCACCCTCCCTTTTAGGCAGATAAATGGTAATCAGCATTGCCTCATGGCACAACAAAGAACAAAGACATTAACTCCAAGCCTTTTAAAATCAAAAGCCCTAGTCAAGATGCCAGACAGAACAATTTTGACAAAATGTGTGATTAGGTAGATTTCCTCTGCTCCTATGCCGCACCCCAACCCTCACTCTGCTCTCTCGATGGCACTGTGTAAAGGCCTTAAGACTTGAGAGAGGAAAGTGTAGGAGAACAGACAAGAGAATTTGAGAATTATAATAGATCTTCATAGAACTTTAAGACATCTCTCACTAAACCCTCCCATTGATTAGCTCCACATAAAACTTTGGGATGGAAGAATATAAGGGACCAGAGAAATATCTGAATTGAAAAGGACCACTGAATACTGAATAGGATTAGTAAAAAAACAATTGTACATATTGGCACACCATACATGAAATTTACAAAGCAAAGCAAGAACCCTAAAAGCTACAAATTAGCAATGATTACTTCACAATGGAGAAATAAAATCGAAACGAGACATCTTTAGAATACTATCTTCAAAGTGCAAAGGAAAACAACTTTCAACCTGAAATTAATTCTGTACCCAGCCAACCAATCATTCAGGGTGAGAATGAAATAAAAACAAGATAAAATTATAAGTTCTTAGAAAGGTTGTTGTCTGTAGACTCATTGAAATTACTGGTTAAGCATGCCCTTTAGTGAAAAATAAAATGATTCCAGAAGAAAAGAAAGTGTTACAATTAAGAAATAAGTTTTGACTGTATTGAAAAATTATAACAATGTTCAGAATAAAATTAATAGTAACTTTGTTTTATTTTTAATACCAACAGGAACTAAAATACCAGACAATAACAACTGAGATTAGGGAGAGTTTGGAATGAAGTTAAAATGTCCTAAGATCTGATGCTGATTAAATTGAGACTTTATTAGGAAACATTAAGTATATCTGTTATAAGAGTATTCTTTTGATAATACAAACTTGACGTTGTTGCACTTATGATGAAATATTCTGTTTGAGCCCCACCTTCACCCAGACTTTTATCACAGCAGAAAGACCCTCCCGAGGCTTAGCCCCTGCAGTTGCTCTCACCTCCTGCTCTTGTATTCCATCCACTCGAATTTACACTCCATCAACCCCACATGTTGGCACTTCCTGGAACACCCCACACAAGGTCATGCCTCCACTACTTTCTTCATGTCATTCTTCTCCGTGCAATGCCCTTCTCCTATTTCCTTGTTTGGGCATGTTTATTCATTTTAATGAATTCATTCAATAAATATTAAATGTGATTGAGTGCAAGGATCGCGGTATGTGGGTGTGGGTGCAGTGGGGGAAGAGACAGACGTAAGACAAAGCTGGAGGGTGCTGCTCTGGTCTCTGTCTTCTGGGAGCTTGCAGCAGCAACTCAGCTTGGTTTGGGTCACAACTTGTTTTGGGAAGTGTTTCCGTATTCTACTCTCTGACAGTGGAGCTGCCTCTCCTCGCGCTCACATACCTGACACTTATACTTAAAGTTTCTGTTTTCTGCCTGTTTTCCTAACAGGTAAACAATGAGGAAATCACTAAGCTACTTCAGGTGAGGGATCTCACCTCCTCCATCTCAATAACCTTCTGCTCAGCAAGTGTCAGTGGCTAAACTGACCAGCAATCAAAGGAAGAGCAGTTGCTCCCAAACCTGCCCTGTTAATTCTTCGGTGTTTCCTTCTAGAGCTTCTAGGGGACAAGAAAGCTCACTCATATCTTTCTTTTTCCCACAGAGAAAACCTTCACTTAACATTTTTTTTTTTTTGAGAATACATTCACCTCTCTCTTAGGGAGAAATGTTTTATTTCATTTCTTGGAAGAATCCATCCTCTAAGCCTACTTGAAGCATCTTACCTTCATCTATGTGGTGATTCTACTTGACTTCCTGAAAGACTCTTCCCAGTGGCAACATGTACGTTGGGGTAGTTCTACAGATTGATGGCACATTCCTGAAAAGAGGTGAGTGATTAAACATGCTTAGATCAAAGTGTATTTTCCAAAAAAATAAAAACTGAAAACATGATCTCTACTCATGTGTCCACAAATATTCAGCAAGCTCTTATCAATTCATGACCTGCTAATACAACTGTCCAGGAGACTTCACTATGATGATGGACACGATCTAATCTGTGGTGTCAGTGAGGTCACCACTAGCCACATACAGCCATCAAATGCTCAGATATGACTAGGGAGAATGAGGAATTGACTTTAAAAATGTATTTCATTCTAATTAGTTATATTTAAATGTAAGCAGCTATATGTGGCTAGTGCTTACTGTATTGGACAGCACAGACCAAAAAGATGGGAGAGAATTTCCTGTAGAAATAGGTGATGTGGAATGAAAGAGAAATTGCTCCTGTTTGCAGGGAAGCTTAGGGGCAGAGAGAAACTTGTAGAAGTTAAGTCATGAGGACCTCAAGAATTGTGGGGAGTTTGGGAGGAAAAGCTACAGAACTTGCATTTGAGGCAAATTTAATTAGATCTGCAACAGGAGGGTCTCAGCTGACACCCAGGGTACACTTTGGTGAGAAATCTCTGTCGTTCTCTGAGATGGTATGTAGACTGAGTTCTGAGTTCCTGTGCTGTACCTGCAGCACGTTTTCCTGACTCCACTTGCCCTGGTTGACACTCAGCTGGCAGTGATCCCTTTGCTTTCCTCTTCAAATAATGGATAAAGTCCACTTTGAGTCAAATAGTGGAGGTTTTCATTTTTTCCTCATTTGAGGTTAAAGGTAAATTGTTTCTAGCTCTGGTATGACAGCAGCTCACTTACTCCCCATTTTAACTCATCAACAGTTTCTATTTTACTGTTGGTGCCTACTGGAAGTTTTTTAAAAGGGCCTATTATCATCATCATTATTATTATTTACATCTAAACATTTTAGTACCATTAGATTAGTAGGAAAGAAGCTCAGCCAGGCGGGGCAGTGGTGTGGAAAATTCCTCACCAACCATCATTGGAATGGTAAGTGTGAGATAGAAAGAGATCAAAGACAGGTGTATTTTGAAAGAATGTAAAAATGTAATGTAATGAATGTAAATGTAATGTATGTATGTAATGTATAAATGTATGTATAATGTATAATATACATTATAATGTATAATAATATACATTATAATGTTTAATGTAATATATAAATAATGTATAAATGTAATGTAATGTATGTAAATGTAAATGAATGTAATGTAATGTAATGAATGTAAAAATGTAAGTGTGAGAAAGAAAGAGATCAAAGACAGGTGTATTTTGGAAGAATGTAAAAAAACAAATACGAAGAAGGATGTGGGGGAGATCTGAAGTGGCTATATAATGGGGAAGCAAATCTTGAAATTTTTTCCAAATCTAAATCCTAAGAAAACAGCATAAATGCTCATTATTGTAAAAAAGGAAGCTATTGAGAGTTCTTCTGTGCCTCCATAGTGCACAGTTTTATGGGCTTGGACTTTGTCCTTTCATATTTGACAAAGATATTGACTGTGGTCACTGATGCAAGCAAGTCCTATGACTTCCCCTGATACTGAAGCAAATCCTACCAGCAGGAGAGAGGAAATGAGTCACTGCCAACGTGTTCATTAACTTTTGCAGCCAGTCTAAAGAAACCTTGTCTTGTGCGGGCAACAGGATTCATCCCACTAGCTCAGCCCTGTGTGGGAGACAGGGGCCATGTAGCCATCTCCTCATCCCCACTATTTAACAGACAATGATCTATTTTCATGCAAAGCTCCACCAGCAAGAAAGCATCAGCTGATTTGCCCAAGAGGCACAAGGGAAGTTCCACCACCAAGATGAAAATGAAAAACTATTCATCCATCAGGATTTTCAATTCTGGTTTAATCTTCTTCATGAACCTTGACCTAACCCACTAAAACTCCCTCTCCCCATAATAACATCTCCCATAGTACGTGGAAATTGTTTGTTTATGGACCTGATGCCCTCCACAAGGTTTCTTTTCTCAAGAGCAGGGATGTGACCTTTTGTCTTTGTCTGTATGTCTGGCACTTAGGTGATGTTCGAAACCAACATCGATGTTCACTGAACCAATTTCAATATGGAAATACCAAGGACAGTGCTTGACACATACCAGACCCACAATACATGTTAGTTTCTCTTTTCTATATTTTCTTTTAAAAATGTTCACTGACTACATTGGGCTTTTTATCTTAATAATTTATGCATATTTTACAGATGCATATGTAGAGGTGTGAAAGATTGCTATAACACCACACACTATAATTCATTTTGGGGGGCTTGCCTTTGATAGGGAAAATATCTTGATAAGTAAATTAGGGTGGAAAGTGGAACTCTAAGAATATTGATTAGGAGAATGCAAGGAAGTAAAACATATACCTGAATTGTTATGCTTTTGAGCAGTAAACTTGAAATTTGATGGAGGAGAGCAAAAAAAAAGAGGTGAAGAGAATAAGAGAAAGAGTAGTTGTGAAGCTTTGGGGTGTGTCCAAAGGACTTTTAAAAACATGTTTGTCTAATAGCAAACTAATTTTTTTTTTTACTATTTTATAAATGTCTCCACTTGCCCAAGGGCTTTATAAATTCTGTCATACTCATAGAAGCCTTGTGAGAGTGAGCTTTTTGGTTTGCTTTGATTTTATTTTTATATTATGATCTCATAGTATAATGCTGATTGAAAATTACAGTATTATATGTATATTATGATTCTCTTTTTGTAAAAACAGTTAAACTATTTAAATATTTACATATATATTAATTTGTATGCATAAAAACATGCAAATCACACTGATATGTGATTATTTGGGGGAATGAGGTGGAAGAAGGAAGAGGGAAGTTTCACTTTTTATGTAATTCTTTGAAATTACATAAAAATGTAATTGTCTGAAAATGGTCCATAGCATGTTTTACTTCTGTAATTACCCAAACAAACAAATGAAATAATCCCTTTCCTACTCATCTCACCAGACTGCCAGGAAGACCAATTAGCATAATCTATGTGAATGTCATTTTAAACTGTAGAGTGCTTTGTAAATTCAGAAGTGCTGTAAACACAAAGGGGATTATTTATGACATTGAGCAAAATATCCCGTGTCTTTGGCTCCCCATTTCATTATCATTAAAATGAGAGAGTTGGACTCACAGTTTCTTAAGCTCCTGCTACATTCGGATTCTTTGTGGGTTGTCCCTGTTGCCTGGTTTTTCAGTCACCAGCTCTCAAAACCTCATCCTCCTGCCCTGCTTCATGGACTTCTGCAGCATGTCCTCAGGGCTCAGCTGGAATGCCACCTTGGGCTTTGTGACAGGAGATTATTTTGCCTGTGTTCAAGGAGGGCTGCTTGCTTGCATCTTCTAGATGTACAGGGTACATTTCCTGTTTGCTGACATCACTGAGTTGCCATAAGACTGGATTAAATGTCTGTAAACATCTTTAATGAACAGGATTATTTGAGAACTTGCCAGTCCCTGTTCTTGCTTAGAGAAAGCTATTTAACCAGAGGGCCATAGCCTGTGATTTTTGGTTACTTATTTTCTTTTGTTTTTAACTTATTTAGATTCTGATGGCTTCAAAATTTCTCCCTCCCTCCTTCTTCCCTTCCTTCCTCTCTTCCCTCCTTTCTTCTCCCCTTGCCCTTTAAGTTATTTTCTTTCTACTATATATATATCCACAATTTCATGTCTGTTGGGTCTCACCATATCACCTCCTCAAAATGACTAGGTGAAAACATGGTTTCCCATATTACCAAGTCCCTCGTTTAATTTTGTTTTGTTTTACATTTTAAGAAGATTTTTATGATGAAATTACTATATTAGGTTAATTTACATAGAATAAAATGCACACATCTTAAGTATTAAGCGTGAAGGATTTTGACACATCTATGCACGTGTGACAATGATCCAGAACAAGACAAAGAACATTTCCATCATCTTAGAAAATTCCCTTCTTCTCCTTCTCAGTCAATCCCTCCCCAAGGCTGCAATTATTCTCACCGCTATCACCATATATTAGTTTTGTCTTTTAAAACATTAAAAAAAATATTTTTGTAGAGATGGGATCTTGCTATGTTGCCATGGCTGGTCTCAAACTTCTGGCTTCAAGCAATCCTCATGAGTCAACTTCCCAAAGCCATAGGATTACAGGCATGAGCCACTGCACCTGGCCAATTTTGCCTTTTTGGAATCTTATATGAATGAAATCACATAATATGTTCTCCTATGTCTGGATGTCTTCACGCAACATAATGTTTTGGCGGTTTATCCACATGTTGTCTGTATTTATAGTTTGTTCTTTTATATCTGAGTAGTATCTTATCACATAAATACAGCACAGGTTATTTATCATTATTATTATTCATTCTTGGTTGAAGGACATTTTTTCTATTTCTAGTTTCTGATTAAAGCTGCTATAAACATTCTCATGCAAGTCTTTTGTTGAACTTTTGTTTTCATTTCTGCCTAGGAGTGGGATTTCTGTGACATGGGATAGGTGCTTATTTAAGCTTATTGGAAACTGACAAACTGTTTTCCAGAGCATTTGGACCATTTTATACTCCCACCAGCATTGCGGAAGAGTTCCAAGTGCTCTACGTCCTCAAAAACGCTTGGTATTGCGAGTGTTTTAATACTTTTTGTCTTAATTCAAAAGGTGACATATTCATTTCATGTGCTATAATTTATCACAAAGTAAGGGATTAAAAACTGTCCAACAATCAACAGAGTAAAAAAGGCAACTCACAGAATAGGAGAAAATATTTGCAAATCATATATCTGACAAGGGATTAATAGCCATACTATGTAGAGAAATCCTAAAACTTAACAACAAAAAATAACCCATGTTGAACAGATATCTGCACTCACATATTTATTACAGCACTATTCATAATAGTCAGGATATGGAATTAACCTAAGTGTCCATCAGTAGATAAATGGGTAAAAAAAATATGATATATGTACACAGTGCATATATCACATTTATTCAGCATTAAAAAAAGAAGGAAATCCTGTCATTTGTGACAACATGGATGAACCTAGAGGATATTAAATGAAATAAGCCAGACACATAAAAACAAATACTGCATGATGTCACTCATATGTGAAATCTAAAAAAGTTGATCTCATAGAAATAAATAGTAGAATAGTGGCTACCAGGAGTTGGGTTCATGGGGTATGGTTGGGGAGATGTTGGTCAAAGGATATAAAATTTCAGTTAGGTAGAGTAAGTTCAAGAGCTGTATTGTACGATATGGTGAGCATAGTTAATAATATATTGTACTCTTGACAAATGTTAAGGAAATGGTTATAAAGTGCTCTTATCACAAAAATGTAACTATGTGAGATAATGTCTAGGTTTTGTCATTCCATAGATTTGTCATTCCATAATATGTATATACCTCAAAACATATATCAAATACATACAATTTTATCTGTAAATTTTGAAAAACTGATTCCAAAATCGAATAGAAATTTTCTCCAAAGAAGATAGCCAATAAGCACATGAAAAGATGCTTAACATCACTAATCATTAGGGAAACACAAATCAAAACTATGAGATACTACCCATATCCATTAAGGTGCTACTATCAATAAAACAGAAAATGACAAGTGTTGATGAAATGTGGAGAAATCGGAGCCCTTG